GTTATATCGTTATCGCAAATTTTCAAATATATATCGTGATAAATATTTTTGGCCATATCGCCCTGCTCTACTCACACTCTCTCTCCTTGACGGTGTGAGGCCGGATGTCCATCGTCCTCTGTCTCAGCGTGTTCTGTTGTTTGGTGGAGGTCATATGAACGAGAACAGCCTGTGTGAATGTCCTGCACCACAGAGGCGGGAATTTTAAAGCCGGAGAAACATTTGGGTCCGATTTACTGCCTCACAGAGACAAACAGAGTCCGTGCTGACAGCTGTGAACAGCAGCACTTTGGGCCTTATGCACGTGTTTGCTTCACTCCCAGGAGAGAATTTTAAACGTCGCTTCAAACTCTGTCACACACAGGTTACACTGTAACACTATAAACACATCAGCAGCTTATGGATGAACATCAGCTGCTCGGCCTCGGTTATTACGTCGACAGTTTTCATGGACAGTCGGATGGCCTGTCGCTGTGAATTATGGGATGGTGTTATCTCCTCTCCTTTCCTCAAGGATGCTTCGGTGTGTCCTACTCTAAAGGAAGCACTGAAGCTCCTTTCCTTGGTGTTTGGGGAGGTGGAACCGCTCCGATCATGGTCACGTCTCTCAGTGAGGAACCTTCCAGAGAAACTTTCAGAATGCGCCCTTTATGTAGTCAAACACTAAACACTCAGCAGCAGAGGATTGTGGGTAATGTAATGAGTCTGTGTGTGCCCTGCTCCCATTGGCTGCCTGAGTCAGCTGACTGGAGCAAATGGAATCAGAGTTATAGGCCTTAGCGGCGGCAGCAGCCATTACAGCACTCAGAGGAAGTCCCGAGGGACGCTAATGGACCCAATTTCCTGAAACAGCCCAGCCTGAGAGTCTGAGCGCAGAGGTCAGAGGTCAGGGACAGCTCTGCATCCGTAGTGTCAATAATCATCCCACACGGCGAGGTTGAGGACAAAGAGTCATATGTTAAAGACCAGAGAAGAAGAAACACAGCTGCCGTTAAACAAACAGGCACAGAAGAAGAAGCAGCTGAGAATAAAAACACACACCCTCGCAGCATTCCTGACAGGCACAGCTGTGGACACACCACATCTATCCCTCTGCCCCGTGGGGCCCTCCATGGGAGCAACAGGTGTGTGTCACCAGTCTGAGGCAGCAGCTGGCTCACGCCACGACGCTGCTCTGCCCAAGAAAGTGTCAAGAACGTCTCCACATTTTAGCTCCTCCTCCTCTGTTTTTTTAGTACGATGACATGACGACAGAGGAGCGACGACCGAAAACCACAGAAGAGTCTCCAAACCGAGCCTCCGACTCAGTGCTGCCCCCAGTGGGCCTCGCAGGTGCCGCAGAGCCCAAAAACTCGATTCAGCCACGCCGATCAGCCGTGACAGCGTGTGTATTTGTGATCAGTCGTCATTTATTAAAACTGATTTTATACGTAAGCTTCCTGCGTCTCCTCAGTGCTGAGGAGATGGAAGAGGAGGAATCCCTCACCCGCTCAGGTCTGACGCAGATCACCGGGTGATGCACGAGGCCGCGGCGAGCTGAAGTCAAAGTGATCACAGAACACTGAGGAGGCCACGCTTCACCTCACTGGCGTCTGCAGGTGTGTTTGTAAGCGAGCTCGCCGCTGCGCACGAGCAGGGAGGAGTTATTGGATTTACTCAGCACACAAACAGCCTCATTTCCTGGAGCGCCGACCCCGCCCGGCAACAGGAAACAGCTCGGCGCTCTCAGCAGGCGCACACAAACATCCATCAGACTCTGTGTCCAACACGCCGGGCTTTCTACGGCGAGAGTGAACAACAAACAGGCCGGAAGTCTCCACAGAGCTTCATCGGGCAGTGAAGTCTTCACTGTGCAGAACCAGAACCAGGCCCAACCGGTTCTTTGGTTTGTGGGGGCAGAACAGAACCACCAGAGAACTGAAGTTCCAGGAACCTCTAAGGAGCATTGCTGCAGTGTTATCAGTGAACTAACCAGAACCTTTACGGAGGTTAGTAAACCGGGCCAGGAACGCCTCACCCAAGGTTCTGTTTACGTTTGAAGAACATTCCCTGAACAAACACGTAAATATTTAAACCAGAACCCCGAGAATGCCATCCATCACTTCCTGTCTCATTAGACAGGCAGCCATTAGAACACTCAGGCAACATTCAGGGAAAGGAAGCGAAGCGTTACGGGAACACCGGGGGTTGCTCCTGTCGTTCTAAATGAGTTTGTTCACATCAACACAGACGGCTCTAATTTCTAAACCAGGACATTTTCCCTTATGGAAGAGCTTTCAGGGAACGTGGAGGTAACTCCAACCATGCAGGGACCTTAAAGAACATGTCCCAAACAAATTCATGGGATGCTGGATCCCAGCTCTGCAGTGTTGGGATGCTCCTAACGTCAGAAAAACATTCCCAAAACGTTCACACAACCAAAAGCTGCTGGTTCACTGGCTTCCTGTTAGAGGAGAACCTTTAGGGAACATTTCATGGACATACCTATAAGGGAACTGTGACCCTGACAAACGGTTTGGGAACGCTGGGATGAGAACCCAAGTGTTCCCATATGAGCCCTCAGATGATCTTTCATGTTCCGGTTTGGGTTGAAGGACGTTCTGTGAAGGTTTGGGAAACGTTGTGTTTTATTTACATGTCCTGTGTGTGTGTGTGTGTGTGTGTGTGAGTGTGTGTGTGTGTGTGTGAGAGAGAGAGGCAAACACAAGCAGAACCGGTCACGCTGAGCGGAACCTGACGGGAACTCTGAGGAGCTGTGTCCGGTTTCTGGGCCTCCCGCCGCTGTTTTCCAGCACTTTCTCCGGTCGGAGCGGCGGCTCTCGGCGGGCTCGGCCCCGCTGAGCTCTCGCTGAAAGGAGCTGTTATTGTCCGGGACGCATACACTCCTCACCTCCTCCTCCTCCGCGGCCACGCCTGTTTGTCTCCTCTCATGGCGCACCGTTATTCTCATCCATCCTTACTAATGGCTGCTGGCGGGGACGAGCCGCGGACACGCGGGCGGAGGAGCACCGCGGCGCGGGCCGCGCGTCGGCGGGGAGCGGCTCCAGAGCCTCCGGGAAGGATCCCGGAGCCGCTCCCCGCCGACGCGGAGCGAAGTTATGGAAGAGCCGAGGCTCCGGAGCGCCTCTCTTCAATCACAGCCACAGTAGAGACACAATAGAGACAGTAGAGACCAGGACGCTGCTTACCTGCTCAGGGTCGGAGCGACACTCCAAACTTCAGCGGAGGTGAGGAAGAGTCTGCAGACCGGAGAGCACAGAGGAGGTGGCGGGGGCTGCTGCTCCTGCTGCTGCCGCAGGGGATGACGGGAAAGAATCCGCACTGCCCCCTCCCCCCGCTCAGAGGGTTCGGGTCTGATTCTGGGCTTCGGGTCCGCCTGCAGAGCGCCCCCTGCAGGCCGCAGAGAGCAGCAACTTCAGTTGATCCGAGTCGGAGCCTCTTTATTCCACAGACAGTTACTATTATTGTTGTTATTACTGTTATTTATTATTATTACTAATATTGTTATTGTTACTATTATTGTTGTTATTACTGATTAAGAGGCCACATTACTTTCTGACACGAGTCCCGAACACAAACATGAATTTTAATGAGGATAAAAACATTTGCTAAATAATCGATGACACATCCTGTTAAATATCCGTGTTTTACAGTTTTTATGGCACGTGCTCTAATAAATCTCTGTATGTATTCACGTTGCACACATTAAACTTTGTAGTTTATAATAAATGAATGAAACACAGAATCCTCCAAGCCTGCAGTTCCTCTAGTGTGCAGCAGAGGCAGCAGTGAGTCAGTCCTCATAGACTCCCGTGTTAACGGCACATTTACGGCTGATGCAAAGAATTTCTACCTTCACACCTGTACCAAATCATGCAACCATGCACCTGTTTGCAATGTTAGGGGCGTGGCCTCTGTGACTGACAGGTGCACCATCACCTGAACTGCACCTCTGGTTCACGTTTGTCCTGCTGGAGCCTTCTGGAGCATTTTAATGACATTATGTGAATAACACGGGCTGTGACAGTTACTGGCAGCTGAGGCTCATGGGTAATGCAGTATTTGGACTCCTCCTTCACAGCGTCTCTCGCTGAGCTATGAATATATCAGATATGAAACATGTTGTGTAACGTGAGCCGTGCTGACACTCAGCGCCGAGCCCATTACGGCCTGATGGAGCTTAATGGCATCTAATGGAAAACATGGTGGGCTGCGATTGGACAAACACACAGAGTGCATCAGACAATAAGAGAGATAATCTGAGTGCTGACCGTCTCCACATCGATTCACCGTGAGGCCCATTAGCGCTCCCACAGGCTGAGAGGAGCTCCATGACCTCCTCAGAGATTCAAAGAAAACCACGCAGAGACAGACAGTAAACGCCACACAGCTAAGTCTCCACCCACTTTATTCATACACCAAATCACGACACTCGTGGACCAAAATAATCACAGAACAGATTGAATGTCAGAGCGCCTCATCAGAGTCCTCTGGTGCTCTTCAGAACCAGAACTGAGGTCCAGGCCAATGTGACCGCTGCTCTCCCTCCCAGAGACCGCGGCCTGACAGCCCGCGCTCAGGGCCGTTCCCCCCGCCTCGTCCCTGAAACCAGCAGCCAGGGCCAAAACTTTAAACATGAAGGTGGAAACGTCCACATGTTCCCTTCAGCTCAAACAACCAGAAACGGCTCCGATTGGCTGCAGGTGTTTGCCTCACTGCATAGCAACCACAGCACCACCTGGTGGTCAAAAACTGGTTCCAACAAAGAAAAATTATTTTCCTTCTAAATCATTTTATAATCAGGACACTGGAGCTCACACAGACACACACACACACACACACACACACA